GACTCATGATTTAGATTTTTTTCTAACAATATAATTACATCAAAAAATTCGTTTTATAATTTTTATATACTCTTGGTGATTAAATTATTTCTTTAAAATTATATGAGATAACTTTTGATATATTACTTAACCAATATAAAACAATAATAAAAAAATAAGTACTATTACTTGTCATAAATCAGTTTACATTGACGACGATAACCCGTGACATACATACATAAAAGGAATATATTGGGAGGCTCCTCCTTTTCTCGTGGTCGGTCAAAAATTACGGTTTGATATATATTGAAAATAAAAATACTTATTAGGTTATTTCTATACACATAATATAAATAAAATTGAAGTACCTGTCTGTAGTATTGTAATAACTGGCTTCTATTAAGCTCATGGGTAATTTCCATGCTATTAAAACGTACGATAGCATCAAGCAAACTGTGTGCGTTTACGAATATAATAAAGAAAACACCACCGTATGTTTCTATATTTGTAATAAATATAATCATCTCCATCAAAGTCGTTATTACATCATCATCGCTGCAGTCATCATAAGTTCCTTAAGATATTCTTTAAAAGACATGTATTTATTGAAAGTTCGATTTGATGTATGCAGGTGGCTCAGTACATTTTTATTGTAACCTCGGTTTGAGCCTGGACTTTAAAAACTTCTGTAGAATTTTAAAAATTTGCATAGATCACTATTTGTGTATATTTTGAACAACATACACAAATAATATAACTAACCTACATTTCTGGTAAAAAAATATTTATCTCAAACCTAAAATTTTGGTTAACACTAAAACAAAACTTTACGAATCTACATTTTTATGTTTTTCCATGATATTTTCTCACTTAATGAAACAAGGCTTTACGCCACATAAGCATTATTGTGAAGGTATATTTTTACAATATAATTTTTTGTGTTTGTTTGATCGTCATTACAATCAAAATTTATAGCTCAGTTATGTTTCCCTTTCGTACATTCTCAACGTTACAAAAACATCACAAGCTAAGTTATATGATAATTTTATAGTTCTCTTTATATTCTTCTTCTGTATTCTATTATATTTGAATACAAACGTCAACATCAACACGCACTTTAGCATAACAAATAATAGTGGTCATAATTATGTTTTCGTTCATCGCCTTTCTTTTTGTAAATTAAGGTTTTTTATGTTAACAAAAATAAGTTAGCCGCTCATGGAATGACTTATACCACCGAGTCAATGGTGAAGATAATAACCATTAGAAAACTTGCATGTACTATATACCCGTAAACTATTTTAGTAATTAAGAGAGACTTGACTAAGCTTTAGTATCATTTTTTGGTTCTTATTACTGATTGTATATTATTGAAATTTTTTTGTGAGTTATAAGGAGATAATGTTCGGTAAAATAGTTCGTGGATTTGTGAAATGCATAATAGCGTAAAACACGTTTTTACAGAAACTAGAATCAATCAATAAAACAATAAAATGCAGATGCATTGTCAGCTCCGATAACGGACTTATAATCCGTCTTTTTATTTTTAACGGGCCATTATAGGTTTTTTAATTCTTTATTATTAATGGGCTTAGTCGCAATGTAAATATGTTGCTCCGTTATCAACATCACAAACAGATACATTAGGTATACTTAACCTCTCAAACGCCAAGCGTCCAAATTTGACCGCTTCGATATTCCGTCAAAATTCAAGAGGCGAAATTTGATCGCACCCAACCACACTGCCGTCCGCAAGCTATAATGCTGCTATCTAACAAAACCATATTTCAAAGTTAAGGACAAAAAACCGCGAAAAAATGAAAAATGGATGCCGTTTCAAAACTATAACTTATATGCAAGAGTTTTCGATATCAAAAAGTAGATCTAGTTTTGCGCTTTCAAAAAGCCATACTCTTACTTGTTTAATAATGATTTAACCTTAATAAAAAAAGATTTTTGCATTTTAGTCTACTGTTTTTACAATTTACTGCTTATGTAATCACGACTATAATGCCGCTAAGCCTACCTTAACGGCACTTTAGTGTTTGATTTTCATTTCATTTTATTGACATTGACAAAGTCTTCAAAACATCTCTTCATTACTAAACTGTAATGCCACTAAATACTTTAACGTTGTTATAGTATAGCATTATGGCTCCGAGATAAAACACTATACAAAACCATATTGCAGCTAAAACCACGTAGCCGCATTTTAGACTAGTGACTTTTAGGGATATTTTTCCTGCATTTATTTTTTAGGTCGATTACATCGCTTAAATGCCGCTAATTATAAAACATTAAAATGTAACGGCGTTTTAGTTTTGAAACTGCAACACGATAGTTGAGGAAATCAAATAAAGTGGTAGTTACCTACAGAAATAAAAGAGCTTATTATAAAATATAAATCAATCATTTAATGACACAGTCTTTTTTAATTTTAACAAAATCACTTTGTGAGGACTTACTTACAATAATTGAAAATGAGATCTTAGTAAATAACTATAAAAAAAACATGAAAACAATCTTCACCTTGTATATAATGATATCTTATAAACAACTAAAAAATATTTCAAAAATATCTTTTAAAAGCAAATTTTAAAATCTTAGAAATAAATAAGAGACAGTAATTAACAATTATATTTACGTTTTGGTACGTAATAAAATACTTGAGCAAATAGAATCTTCCTGCTCTCTGTCAATTAAAATATTTTTTATAAAATCACTTTGTGATGACTTACTAGGTACTTCTCATTGCATATGAGATCTTCTTACATATAACTAAAATACAAAAAACCTTCATCATAATTATTATAAAACGTATATCAATCGTTATTTATAATTGATGCTGAGGTAGACGGTGAGTAACATAAAATACTTATTTTTATTTTAAATTGTAACTAGGTATTTATTTTTTTATAAGAAATAGAACATTCACTATTGCAGGTACATAAAAGTTGTAACAATGTAATTATTTATTAAGCAACTAACGTAGTACTAAGTGAGGTAATTATTATTTTTATGCAGTTTTACAAGTTATTGTTTCAGTCTTACGAGCATCAAGGTTTTTCTTATTACTAAAATATCAAAAAATAAATAAATATCAAAAGACCATGACCATGTCACTATGCCTCCTCATTGTCTTTTACTGGCAAATGTTTCCAGAATATCTGTTTTTGAATGGGAATTATGCTGGATAGTTTTTCAATAATGTCATTTTTCTTGTAGAATCTATTCCTTTTGGCTTCGAACGGAATTCAACTTTTAAAAGATTGGGATTCTTTAAATAGTTGTTATTCATAAATCTTAATATTTTTATATTCGTCATCAAAATAATTTTTGTACATTAGGGCATAATTATTACGTGTAAAACATACTTGACACATGTTTTTTAAGTAAGCTCTTGGATACGAGATTTGAACTCTTCTATCGGATATAAAATTTGGTATATTGAGAAAATGTCTAGGTGACAAAGATTTCACAATGACTTTTGATTTGTTAATTGAAGCTACTGCTTCTTCAAAGTCCGTAAAATCATAAAGTCTTACTTTTTTCTTCATGGCCAATTCGACTTGATGGTGCACTTGATCAGCAATCATAAACGTGTGCCCTGGTTCAAAATAATGCAGTGTTATTTGTTCGGTGGAAATTATTTCAAAGTTGACTAAATGGATAAGTAACGAGTATAATAACCAATTTTTATTCTGAGCACTGCAGTTATCGAGCCATATATTCACATTAGTAATGTCTCGGTTACATAAAAGAAAATGCTAGAAGGCCGTCATGATGTCCTCTTGTTTTCTCCCTGCAATACCATCATGCCATACGACTGTTAATGGCTTTAAAAAGGAATTAATTATGCCTAGCGGTGCAAATGTCTGATTGAATGAATGCCGTAAGGCGTTGGCAAAAAATTGCAGCTTTAAAAGTATCTAATCTGGGCAACATAATTACTTTTTCTAGGTCTGCGCTGTAATATATTTGGGAATTATTTTGTGGTAAGTTTTTGTGTTCATTGTAAAGCTCCCTTGCTTTTTTATATTTTTGATGATGCTGGGCCCACTCCACACATACAGAACAGTCTAAGACAGTCTGGTTACCGACATCATGTGATATTTCTTTTTTATTCAAAGTGTAAGCTTCACACATTTAGCACTCTTCATTACCCAAACGAGTAAAAGAAATATTCATTTTTTTTTACGTGTTGCCTATATAGTTCATACGAAATCATCTTATCTGGTTTTTTTTTACAGAAATGTCTATGCATATTAGTCACACTAATATCATTTTAAAAATATCGTCGCAGTGGAGCATATTCACGCCTGTAGTGGGGTTCTGACGGGTGAAACGATTGAACGTGCTGAGTTGAACTTGAACTATGCAAGATCCTGTCATTTGTTTTAACATAGCCTAATGTAGTCAAAAAAAAGGTTTTGCATACCTCAACTCTGGTGTCGTCTAGTTGTTTAAATTTAAATGCCCTTCTTGGTTTCCTCTTCGGGCCACTGGTCGTTTTTCTCTTTGGAACTGCTACTGAAGTGTGTGCATTGACGAATAAATGCTTTTCTCGCCAGGTCAAGTCCCAATACATTTTATTGATTGCTTCTCGCTCGTCTTGACTAAATTTGGATGTACATTTTTTTTTAGACAGGTTTCGTTACACCCCGTTTTAACATTATGTTCTAACTTTTTTATTTTTGGCATCTATTTTTCGCTGAAATAAGGGAGTGTCATATTTTTTACGTTTTTGTTTTGGTTGTGATGTTTCAGGTTCCAAAGTGACTGCAACAGATTCATTGACTTGATACAATGTTTGATACGCACCAACATCAATGGTGTTCCTACGATTGCGAGGAAGTAGCTACGCGGCAATATCTTTATCAGCACAAGGAAAATTAATTGAACTTCTGCGTTTATTCTGCAACTTTTTTCTTTCATGAATAAAAGGAACAGTGTCAAGAACGTCTGAAGTTAAGCTCTTCTTGACCACAGCTGGTGGAAATATGGAATGTGAATCCTTTTTTTTAAGAACTTACGTTTGTTTGTAACACATGGGATTTTGGGCTACTCGACTTAATTGATTCAAAATCATCACTTGAATCAGATGGAAGATAGTCTTTATCACGCACAGAGTCGTCGGAATCAAAACCACATTGAAACGCGTACGTTGATGAACTAATATCATTTTGTTCAGTTACATTAAATGAGAGTTCTTCTAACGGCATCACTTCGTTGCAGGTTAAATCGATTTGCACGTGATCTAAATTTGGTAAAGCATCATGGCTCTGAGCAGGACTAGTTTTAAAATCTTGATCCGAATTATTCAGGATCGTTGAATTATAAGTAATTTGAGTATCACAAAACTTTTCAAAAACATTAGACGTCATCGAATAAGGCCTTTTATAGTATAACGTATCAAAATGCTGTAGCTCAGGATAAGGACTTTTATTCCTTCTGCTAAAGATCTCAAGGTCAATTTTGGTGTCTTTACTATCTTTCTTCTTAATCATGTCTAAAATGTTTTTGGATCTTTGTGAAATAGCAGTGCGCCTGTTACAAGTTAATTAAAATTTAGGTTTACGTTATCTTCTAATATACACTGGTCTCTACAGTATCTTCAATAAATAGTATTTATTTATAAATCAAAATAATTAGTTCATAAGGTCGATGAAATGTAACCATTTTATCTTTTTATTTAAATAAAAAATATTTGGTTATTTGCGAAGCTATTTTGAACAATATAGTATTGATACTTATCCAGAAAAATGTGTTAGTTACCAAAATAATTTATATAGATTAATAGTGTAATTTACTTCATATTATTTAAATTAATATTTTTAATACACCACAGATTCTAAATGATGCAGAAAAAAAGTTCTTTGCGTGACGAGACCGAAACTTTTTGAACCGACATACAATTAATATTTATCCAATCTGTATTGTTTATTAAACCGGCAAAAATAATAAACGTAATTAAATAATGTTTTACCTTGAGTATTTGTCAGCCATCGTAACATTTGGCGGGAATCCGCGGTGCGTGACACGTCCTTCCCGTTAAACTTTAGTGGTGAACTGCGTCATCAATCGAGAGAGAGAGAGACTCGCTCGGGAGGCCGCGGATCGAGCGCGAGGGATTCACTGCATATAACCGCGTTGTAGTGTAGTATGAGCCATACCTGCATATTTTCGTAAATAACTTCGATTAATATATAGAAATAATTGTGATTTTCACGCTGTCGACATCCACTTGTTATGTTTTTTTTTTGTTATCAAAATACAATAAAATCTTTTTGTAACGAAATAAAACCTGACTTATTTAGACCACAGGATAGAGAATTTTGTATAGATTTTGTAATGCCAACTCTCTTCGTAGAAAAATAGTCTCTAAATATAAGTTTTAATAGTTTTAAGTGATGTGGGTGGGTGCGGTCGCATGCGACCGCTCGGGATTTGCCAGGCGCAAATCTGAAATTAATACTGTAGAAGAATAGTAATGCATGTAGTTACAATAAACGTTCCTGTGTCAATCACACTGAGATGAATATGATCGATCAGATTGTGGCTTAGCTAAAATTTTATTACACACTTCGAAAGACAGCGTTGATGACACACTCCACCAGTACATGCATTACGCCCTCGCGAACTCCGTATTGAGATTAGTTAAAAATAAATAATAATTTTATATGGTATGAAACTTTAAACTTAACTTTTTGTACGTACTATGCACTGTTTTTTTGGTTGTTGATAATTAAGTGCCGTAGTTGTAAACATTTTTTAACTTACTTGTATTTTTTTATATTTATGTCAGTCGTAATTTTTACCATGAAACTAAAAAACTGAGTGTGCCAACTTCATAATTATAATAAAATATTCCTCAGATGACATCTTGCAAGAAAAGATCACGTCCTTGTGTAGTTCAACGTAAAATAACTGCATAGTGCTACAGTGTTTCATATAGTAAGTATAGGTAATCGGAAACCCATTCATCCGTCAATGAGGCATTCCATGGATATTTCGAGACGACTACATATTTCAGGAGTGATAACCATCTGCATTTTAATTGTTATTGGGTGATAAATATAGCTGTCTAAGAGACAAAGCATCCACCTACCATCAATGAGACTTCGTTAGATATCCTCACTCCCAAATTAACCTCTCAACCCCCTAGCGGTCTCATAATACCGCGGCCATATTCTGTCAAAACCCTAGCGGTCTCATGAGTTTGCACCCACCCACAGCACTTTAACCCATAAACACTTATATATAGAGACTACTTTTCTATGAGCTGGAGAGCCATTCTAATATCTGAGCGAGATTAGAATGGCTCTCCAGCACCTTAAAAACGGCAGGGCCCCAGGCGAGGATGGAATTACAGCGGAGCTTCTGAAAGCGGGTGGAACACCGGTACTTGAAATCCTTCAGAAGCTCTTCAATTCCGTCCCATATGGTGGCACTACTCCGGAGGCGTGGAGCAGAAGTGCGGTGGCCTTGTTTTGTAAGAAAGGCGACAACGCTCTCTTGAAGAACTACAGACCGATTTCCCTTCTGAGCCTCGTCTACGTGCTGTTTTTGAGAGTCATTACGAATCGTCTCGCACGCAGACTCGACGACATCCAGCCTCCCAAACAAGCCGGTTTCCGAAAAGGCTTCGGTACCATAGACCACATACATACCCTGCGGCAGATTGTACAGAAGACCGAAGAGTACAATCTGCCACTTTGCCTGGCGTATGTGGACTATGAGAAAGCCTTTGATTCCGTCGAAATTTGGGCGGAGCTACAGTCCCTTGAGCGGTGCCAAGTTGACTGTCTGTGCTGAAGTTTTTGTACAGTAGGGCTGCGATGGCTATTCAAGTACAGAACCAGAGTTCGAAACCTTGGATAGGTTTCGAACTCTGGTTCTGCTGCAGAGAGGTGTAAGACAGGGTGACGTTATATCCCCGAAACTCTTCACCGCTACATTGGAAGACGTTTTCAAGCTACTGGACTGGAAAGGATACGGTATTAACATCAATGGCGAGTTCAATAAGCTGAAGTGGCAATGGGCCGGCTATATAGCTCGAAGAACCGATAACCGATGGGGGGAAAGGTTCTCGAGTGGTAGCCTCGTACCGGTAGGCGTAGTGTAGGGCGACCCCCCACTAGATGGAGTGACGATTTGGTAAGATATGCAGGAAGTCGATGGATGCAGTTGGCTCAGGACCGTGCTTTGTGGCAATACTTGGGGGAGGCCTATGTTCAGCAGTGGACTTGTGAAGAGCTGTAATGATGAATGATGATGATGATGACTTTTCAATGAAGAAGTCTGGCATTATATTATCAATATGAAATACTCTATCCTTCTGTGCACTAAAAAAAACTGTTATCCCACTAAAATTTATTTATAATCTAAGTTTATTTCGTACGCCATTTTCGCGTATATGTTATTGTAATGATTTTTGGATTTCTCTAGTGTTTTATTAGTGTTTTAGTAGTGTTTTATTATAAAATTTTAAAGAAAGTTCTTGTTTATCTTTTTACGTATTGAAATAATTGTGATTTTCACGCTGCCGACATTCGCTTGGTATGTTTTTTTGATAATACAATAAAATCTTTTTTTAATGAAGTAAAACCTGACTTATTTAGACCACAGGATAGAACATTTTGTATAGATTTTATAATGTTAAACTTCTTTTTAGAAAAGTAGTCTCCAAATATAAGTTATAATAGTTTTCATGCTGTGGGTGGGTGCGGTCGCATGCACCCGCTCGGGATTGGCCGGGCGCATGCGACTGCATGGGATTTTTATGGCTCTTGAAGGATTAATAATTTAAAAAATAATTGCAGCATAATGCTTCTTTATTTCGAATGGTGAGCGTAGAGAGCCAGAGATTATTTCTACAAGAAACGCGGTATTACACGCGGTAGTCCTCACAGGTGGCAACGCGTTTTGATTCTTAATTGAGGAGGGATGTAGATATCTATAGGCCACTTCAGCATCCACTTACAATCATGCGTAATGTGTGCTCATTTGTCACCTTTATTCTTAAAATATAATTAAAAAATAGTGATTTCAATCAACTTATATTGATAATATATTTGATACTAAAGACTATTCGATGACATTTTAAAATATTTCTTTTAAACTTTTTACGAAGAAAAATTAAAAAATAACATTCATTCACTTTGAACATTACATGGAACACTTTCTGTATTATGAAATTTGTTGCATTTTTAGCCGGCATAAAAATATTTCAGATGTTATTAAAAAAATATACAAAGAAAGCCGTTGTAGTTCAGGGGCTGAGCGCTTGCTGTAAATTTCGCAGTGAGCGAGCAACCCGGATACAATCCCGTTAATGTATCTTACCCAGTTTGAAGTGCACCTCCCGCCCTCCTTCAATTGCGCGCACTAATCCCGTCACCACCAATCCCAGCATCACTACTCCCATCAACACTACTCTAGGAAAGACTAAGCTTAGCGTTCAGCCACTGTGAAGTCTATATAAACTGAAGATGCTTCGTGTAGAAGCAAACACGTTTCCTGTTATCGTCGATGGTGTGTCTTTTCTAGACACTTACTTAGAGTAGTGGTAATAGCGAAAAATAATGTGCCATAAACAGTTTTCTTATTTTACTTTTTAATTTGACATTTGCAATCACTTTTTCTTGAAATTTTACAGTATTTTATATATTTGTATATTATGAGGTCAAGAACCTGTTTTTGACATTAAAATTATTAAGAATTTAAATTTTTTTGTTTATGGTAGTGGAAAACTAGTGATTATTATAAACTTTTTGAGTACATAGCGATAGCGAACAACGTAACGGCCACTTTTTGTTATTTTTTACCAATACGTGGTGCGTCATTTTTGGGTGGGTATTCCTAATTATTTCCATAATATTTTTTTATATAAATATTATATAGAAATAATAATTTATATAGATAAAAAAGTTTATTTGGGAATTTTACTCATTTTCATCAAAGATCACTTTAAATTAAACATACAAATATAAAACCGTGGTTTAAGGAGTAAATATTTATTAAATTTACTAACTTGTAATTTTTTTTTAAAAGAAAAGCTTTGTTATGAAATTTTTAAATAAAAATTGCTGTAAAATTCAAAAAGTGTGATGTTAATCAGAATACCCTATTTCTTGAGTTCAAAATAAAATGTTGCGAAAATATTAATAGGGTTTCGAAAAGAATACATTCCATGAACACTTTAGTTTTATACCTGTTCTACCTGTTTGTTTTTGTTCTTATGTAGTCAAAGGAAGTCAGAGAAAATAGGTATGCTTTGTCTTATATCACAATCATTTATCTTTTATAGGAAACATCAACTAATACATTTTACTAGTACTATGCTTTAAAACGTCGACAAGGATATACAAAACAATATATCAAGTAAACGCACTAAAATGTTTATTAACCTATACAATATTGCATGTTCACGAATTTTCAAATGAATAATAAGGTAATGAGCATATTATTTTTAGTAGGCTATTAAAAATAATACAGCTGTAATAAA